AGGTGCAGGGTCTGCTGGCTGGGTGCTGGTAGGCTTGCACCTGGCACGGGCACCGTAGCCAGCCCGTGCCCCTTTAAGGGGTCCGGGGCTGGGAGGGGGGCAGACGAGTTTCCCTGGTGTTGGCCAGAATGGCCACCAGGGAAACCTGGGGAGGGCTAGCCTCCCACTAGTTCTAATTAAGGGGCTACACTCCCCTTAATTCGAAATAGCTAGTTCGAACTAGGCTTAATCCTCGTAAAATGAGGTTTTCCTAGTTCGAACTAAGCGCTCCGCTAGTTCGAATTAAATTCGAACTAGCGGAGCGCTAGTGTAGCGCCTATTAAAGTTAGTTCGAACTAACATCCATTAGTTCGAACTAACTTTGTAGTGTAGACATAACCTAAGTCCTGTTCGGAGTCACTAATTTCTAGCATACCACTGAAGGAAGTGGAGCTACTCACATAGTAAGGTACTACTCAACATGAATAAAGTGGCAGAATCTGGCACTATTTATAATGCGTTCACCTCACCTAAGATCTTCTTAGTATTAATAAACTTGTTAGCATTCTTTCCTGTGCCAGATTGATAACAATTATAGCCATACCATTATAAAAAGTTTTATGAGGACAAAATTATCTACTTTATATAAACTGACTTCAACTTTTATTATGTCTTGCTTTTGCAAGATGAAGCAGTTAAGACAATCTCTGAATATATACAAGATTCCCAAATGACGTTATTCCAAAATAACAAAGAGTGTGCCTACACTGAAAGCCGTTATTTTGAAATAATGGTGAGTCAGAGGACTTCTTACTCCAACTACTGTAACCCTCATTTTGTGAGGAATAAGGGAAGTTGAAGGAAGAGTATTCTTCCTTTGATTTCCTGCTGTGTAGACTGTACCAAATGCTAAATTAAGGTATTTCGACTTAAGAAAATGTAGTCTGAATGGCAAAATTTAAAAATTTCCATGTTTTGTACTTATTGGTGGAAATACATTAGTACTGATTTTGCAGTAACAAAGGTAATAGGACAGCATCATATCCCTAGACACAGCAAGAATGCTTTCTCTCATATATGACTTACTACCATTCACAGTTTTGTAGTAGGGACATAATTCGGAAAAAGACTAAATATGCAAGTCACTATAGGCATCTAAATCAGATCCCTATGTGATTTACAAAACTCTTGCTTGGCTGATGCCAAATGCTGTAGGCATACACGTACTCAGCACCTACCTTTTTTTAGTAAAAGTTCTGTTGGCACCAAGGTTTATGTCTCTGGACCTACGCAATGCAGCTCCATGCAGGACTCCAGTAGTTCCAGCCCCAGATTAATGCACAAAAAAGGGAGGATAGGACTTCTGCCTAACTTGTTTACAGACCCCAATCTAGTAACCATGCTCAGACCTTGTCTCACAGACTGAGCCCCATCCATAAACAAAACAGACAGAGCAGAAGGATGATGTCACTCACAATTTTTATGCCTTATGTTAGGATACTCACTTGGGATGTGAACTACATCCAGTGCACCTGAGAGAGAAGGAGGGATGTGATTCATGACATGCCACAGCTCATGAGAATGATGTAACTATTGGGCTAAGAGATTTACTGATGTGGAGCTTCTTCAGTCTCTCCTATTCCGCCTCATAAGAAGAGACTGAGGAAGCCACAGACTGAAAAAGCTGCACTTCTATCACATAACACAATGGCTAAAGCACTCCTCTTAGAGGTGACAGGATTTTAACTGGAATTTTTCTCCTTCAGCTGCTCCCCTTGAACTGGGGCTCTCCAATATTGCAATGGGCTAAAAGTTATGGGGAAGGCTCTCTCCCAACCTCTTTCTAAAATGGAATAACTACTTACCACCAAGAGTGGCTTTGCAGCTGAGAATCCTGAACTGAAGGCTATGTAGACTTAAAACCACCCCTCAGCTCAGCATCTCCAATTGCTTAACTTAAGCCAGGTACCACCTAGAATGCTGGATTTCATGAATCTCATTGGGAGACACTGATTTCCCTCCATTCATTGTATAAGGCACTCCAGTGTCTAAGTCAGGCTTTGTGAATACTAGTGCCTAAAAATTACCCATGACAACACTGAGTTTCAGAACACTTCCCTTGTGAATCCAGTGTAAGTGTGTTAAATACACACAGTAAGAATATTTTTATTACCTCTTATCAGACCTAGATGTACACCAGGAAATTGTATATTGCTATGGTCAAAAAACAACTGTGGACAATGAAAGAGACATTTACTTCCTTTCATGTGATTTGCAATAAAGGATGACCACACCAATACAGTGAA